TCATGACTATATGGGCCGAGATGAAAGACCCTTTGGCAGGTGAATGAGCTCCTATATACTGTAAGTATTTCATCTCCAATTTTCCTGAAGTTCAACTTAAAAAAAAAAAAAGTTGACTTCCTCATTGACGTCAATGCATTTTACTAAAACACCTGGGTTTTTTTGCAAAAGTTTTGGCAAACGGTTTATTTCTTCCATTCATCTGTAATAAACACAAATGGCAATCTTCACCTGTAGAGTACGATTTACTGTATGCAGAATTCAGAGGCAGATAGACCCTATTACTGCGTGGTATGTAGTCTGAGCATGGCTGCCGAAGGGGACTGGAGCTGGGATCTCTGGGGAGGACTTTCCACTGGGGTCACCAATGTCACATCCACCCAAAACTAAACTGTACATCTTGGGTAAACGTATACTTTAAATTCCAATTGTGAATTGTTCGTTGACATTTGCTGGGGGAAGGAGGAGACTGGAAAGCACGATAATGTTATGATGTTCCATTTAATAAAAGGCATGAATTTGTTTTATGAATTGTTCCTGCTCACCTGTCAGAATAAAAGCATGGCAGTTTCTTTTTAACAGCTTTTGTATTCTTTTCTAGAATATTTTATGCTTACTATAAAAAAAGGTAGGGTGGCTTAATGGGACCACATCCTGATAAATTAATTTAGCTTAGGGCAGGAAACAGAATTTTAGATGTGCCCACCACTTACAAAGAACTGCACATGAGAATGGTGTAGTCTGTTTTTATCCACTGTTAATAAATGTATTTGGAAAGAATATCACTGCCTGGCCAAAAGAAAAGCCACCACCTGGATTTAGCTAAGCAAATAGGTCAGGGCCTCCCATTGGATAAGTTATTATCTGGGGTTGCTTCAGTTGGTCAGGTCTAGGTTCAGCAATGTTATGTGCTCAGTAAATGGGGTCAGCTGCCTATCTGAATGACAAGGTTTTTCCCATCAGTTCATTTTTTGTTCCATGATGGCACATTGGGCATATTCCAAGATGACAATGCCAGGGTTAATCGGCTCAGATTGTGATAAAGTGGTTCAGGGAGCACGAGACATCATTTTCACACCGCAGAGTCCAGACCTTAGAATCTTTGGGATGTGCTGGAGAAGACTCTACACAGTGGTCCGACTCCCATCATCACCACAAGATCTTGGTGAAAAATTAATGCAGCTCTGGTGGAAATAAATGTGACATTGCATAAGCTTATAGAAACAATGGCCATGTGAATGTGTGCCCTAATCAATGCTAAAATGGCATATTCGTATGTGTGAATTTTTTTTGGCCAGGCAGCTCATATATTGTCATAATTGGGTACCATAAAAAGGTCTTGTTTTCTGTCCTAAGCTAGATTGTTTGATACACCAAGGTGCTGTAGCAAGTTTAATGTAATGGTATACATCTAACTTTGATTGAATTTGTAGAAGAAAAAAAAAATGTATTCATAGTTTGGGTCATCTTCCCTGGGGGAGAAATTAAAGTCCATACATTTTATCTTTGCGCCAGCTAGGGTGGGGCTTTAATTGGTAGTTTTTCAAAGATAGAAAAGAAATCCAAAAACAGGTTACTCCATCAATGCTAAACAGCGTGTATGGACGAATCTCCCCTTGCGGCTATAGAATACATGAACAGAGACTGCAGCTGCTTGGCTTTGGTCACTGTTTAGACAAGCAATTGTCAGCCTGCCTTCTTTGTTTGGTTGCTGGCTAGGTAAAGCCCATTATAATGGGGTTGAAATACTTCCCTATAGCCAATATTGGTTCCTACTGCTGACATGCAGCAACATTCTTCTTTGACACCCCCTTCTTACAGCCACAGCTAAGGGCAGGAGTATAAGGAATAGATATTGGAGGTGTGCCTCTGAGCCCCCAATTATTCCCCCTACCTTATACAGGCATAAGGAGGAACTGGCAGGAAAGGCGGCAGCTACATGCCACTGGAGGCATCGGCTTTTATTAGTTTCCTGTGCCACCCGTCTACTCTTTGGACTACTGGTTCCTACCCTCCTAAGATAAGCCACCTAAATGGCCTCCTCCATCTCCGGTTTAGAAGTATTATGTAAAGCCTGATTGACCCGACAGCACATGCCCCCCCCCCCATTTAAAATGAGATGTCCTGCACTTATACTGGCTGTATTTTGAAATAAAAGGTGGACTTTCATACGTCAATTAAGTTCCAAATAGATATTGGAAACCGCGAGAATAAATAAAATGCTAATTAGGAAGGCAGTAGTTTTATTCAAATATACATTCACAATAAAAAACAATTAGAATACACATCTATAAAATGTTAAATAGTTACAATACACACATATATAAAAGTTAGGCTGATGCCAGACGGGCGACAGTCACTAGCGATCCTGCTGGTATGTCCCTGAAGAATCGCTCCCTCTGTGGCTGAGGCAGTGAGATGTCATCCATTGATAGAGAGCAAGATGCAGCACCATTCGGGGGCCGGTGCAGTGACAGAATGACAGCTCTCTGCTTCTGTCTACATTGGCAGCGAATCCATAGGGACAGACAAGCAGACTTCTTTAGCGATCCTGCCGCTGGCAATGTGTCTAGTGTCAGAATCGCCCATCTGACATCAACCTTAATCTAAACAAAGTCGATATTTACTGTAAAAAACACCAGAAGGTGGCTTGTTGGCTTTCAGGATAATATTTTTTCCAATCTGCAGCATCTGGATGACCCTCAGAAAAGATCAGGAATGATGGACGTCTACAAGGTAAAAAAAAAAAAAAAAAAAGTAAAACCGCAAAATCATTGAAAGTTGAATTTGACTTATAAAATACTTATGTTATGTGGACATCTAGAAAAGGTTCATTGTGGCCATCATTACCCTGAACAAAATGTGTCTGGAATTCCACTTGAAAACAATAAATAAATCAGTGTGCTTCCTGGTAGGTCAGGATGTCCAGGCTCTCTTGTACCTATAGCCACATAGTTGTATATCGGCAGTGCGAGATCTAGGGCAGCCCTGTTCCTACAGCCTTATAATATTGAGTCACCCCAGTCTTAAAATGTTAAATAAAAAAAAAAAAGTGTGGTCCCCCATCACTAGATCAATACTAAATCCTGGACAGGGGTCTGGTATGGAATTTATATTTACCCCCAGGTAGGCATGCTAAGATAGAAAGGCAAAAAAAACTGTGTGTACCTTGCTCTTCTCTCTGACACGCTGTCACAGGAGGTTGATCGAGCAGTGTAGAAAGGAAAGCCAAGCCTCCTGTGACAGCGCTGTCTCCGCCCCCACACCGCTCTGCCGGACTGTGATAGGCGGCTGAGCGGTGTGGGAGGAGACGCCAGCCGCTCACTGCGCTCTCCTCTCGCAGCACTCAGCCGGCTATCACAGTTTCTCACCTCCCGGCTGGGACATAGAGCAGCGCCCAGCGGGGAGGAAAGAAAGCAGGGATGCGCCGATGTATCGGTAGGAAAATGGCACATTCGGCATTATGTTTCGGCGGCCGATATATCGGTGCATCCCTAATGTAAAAGCATCAAAATGGACTGAGTCCTTGATTGAATAGCTGCTGTGGATGTAACAGATTGAGAGATCGAGGAGACACTCAAGACACTGTGCTCCTCAAAGTCCCACTGCTAATGCTTAGCGGCTTTCGCGGACACACATCCTTCTCAGAGGTTAGGGATGCACGGATATCGGTGCCGATACTGGGCATTTTCATGAGTACTTGTGAAAATGCCCAAATACCAGCGCTTTCAATTTGTAAAAGGCAACGGGCTGTCCGAGGTCCAGTGCTTGCTGGAGACCTCGGCAGCCTTCCTGTAAATCACGGCGACTATTTACAGTGCCGGCCCGCACATCTTCTGGGGAACCACGGGGCGCCGCTTACAGCACTTCCGCCAACCATGAGACCCTCTGGACCCCACTCAGCCCTCCTGAGAGCTTGGAGACATCAGACCGCCACCCCGGAGCAGCACAGTATTTAGCTTCATATTATTCTGCATTGCTGTATGATGTATTGTTGGGATTTGTAGGAAAAATATCGGTACTCTTGTCTGTAAAAAGATGGTATCAGTGAATTCCTAACCCAAGGTGACGTGGATTGTCCCCCCAGGAAATTTGGAGTGAGACTTTGTGATGTCACTATGTTACTGGAGGCTGTGACAAGAAGCAAATCCCTGCCTCTACCCGAGATGGCAACCTCCATACAGAGACCATGCAATACAGGGCATGGGGGAAAAAAGAGGAAAGATCAGCTACATGATAACCACAGTTAATACTAATCACTAGTTCTATGCCCTCGGCTTGCCTTGTTTTGGGCACAACTTCCAGAGTTCAGTTCTTGTTTAAGGGAAAAAAAATGTCAGGACAGAAATATTGGGGCTTCGTGCCCCACTTTAAAGTGGAACTGAAGTCCTGCAATATACCATTGGAAGAACATGGAAGGTCTTTTTTTGACACACACACACACACTTATGCTCCTAGTAGGTTTTTAGTTTGCATGCACCCCATGGGGCATGTGAAATGCAATACAGTCCCAACTCATTCCCATCAGCTGTAACTAGGGTTGCCACCTGTCCAGGATTCACCCGGACAGTTCGGGTTTTGAATGCTGTGTCCGGGTTTCATGGCAGCTGAAACCCGGACACATGATGTCAGGAAGATAGGGGCTCCTGGGCCCCCACTGAAAATAGTCAGTGAATGGGTGACTCTATGTACATATGAATAAGCTATGACTCCTTCTCCCCCAAAAAGTTCCGTGTGTCGCTAGAGTGTTCGGGTTTCGCTGGAAGAAAAGGTGGCAACCCTAGCTGTAACATGCTGAGAACCAAAGCTGTAAAGAAGCAACACTGGACAGAAGTGGATAAGGACCGGCCATAAACTTTGCTAAACTTCTTGCAGTGTAGGTGGTGGACCTAAAAAAAAAAAAAAAAAAAAAAAAAGAACTTTCCGCATAAATACCACCCACAGCTTCAAACAGTAAAATACAATTGTAACCCAAATGAAGAAGATGCGCTAGTACATGCCTATAACGTGTGGGATCTCATCACGTCCTCCATGTCCTCCTGCCAGTTAAGTGCCCTGACAAACTTCCTAGTGACGTCACAGAGATCTCCCAATTCTGCCAAATCTCTGCTTTTCCTTGTTTTGGTTATAAATGGACCAACCAGATCTCTGTTGATCAGTAAGCGGGGGACGTTGGGTCGCACCGCATTGACAATATTGGCGAAAGGTTCAACCTGAGGGCATAAAAAAAAAAAAGTCTTATGTTGGCGATGCATGTTCCAGGTATTGTACAAATTCCTTTAGATCAGGGGTAGCCAAACCCCAGCCCTCCAGCTGTGGTGCAACTACAAATCTGGTGGGGCATTGCAAGACTGACAGCCACAGGCATGACTCCCAGAGGCAGATGCATAATGAGATTTATAGCTTCAAAACAGGAGGGCTGGAGCTTGCCTGCCCATCTTTAGAGTAAACAAAATCATGTAATAGGAAGGCCTACCCAAACAATTCATTCCATTTTAATGCCACCAGGCAGGCCCTTGCAAGACCACCTGCCATAGTGGACATATCCTTCTGAAAATGCTTTTTGCCTGGCAGTCACGTGACGCAATAATTTCTGAATCACGGACTCAGAATTCTGACTTAATTCTGACCTTACCTCATGCTTGCTCTGGGGTCACCAAAGCAAAATATACTGAAAGCACTGATGGCCAGGTAAAATCGCATTTTCATATAGTGGTTAGCACTGGCAAGCGCCATATTGGTTACAATAAAGGTTTCCTTTAACACCTATCCAAGCTGCTGAATATATACAGCAAGGCTTGCGATCTGCATGTGCCAATCAGTTCTGCTTTCTGCCTAAGGCTGATCGGATGTACAGGATGACAGAAATGTAACAAATGAGAGTGAAAGAACAAGAGTGCCAGGTTGTGGGGATTGGTGCACAGATTTCTTTATTTGTCACAATAAGAGTCTATTAAGAACTGACAGCCAACACGCTTGAGGATAAAAGCTGATTTTTTTCAGGGACTCTGTTGGGGTTCTAAGCTGCCACATTAGCAATCATATGATTGGTTCAGAACCTCCAAGTCCTGCACTCCACCAGCCCAAAGATCTCACAAGTATGATTGCATGCCTACTGAATAATACAGATATGACCAGATACCTCTAAAGAAGTTCCCATTACAATCAGCAGGTCGGCCTCGGGAAAGTCTTTGGAAAATCTGTCAAATGATTTTGGAAGGGCTTCACCAAAGAACACGATGTCAGGTTTGACAACTCCATAACACACCTTACAATGGGGAGATCTGTCATTCATTATGCAGTCCTATGGAGAGAAGAAAGTACAAGATACAGCTGTCAGGATGTAGCAACTAAAAGTTACCCTGTCACAAACATCAGGAACGCATAACGAGAGGATAATTAACTAAAAAACTGCATTTCAAAACCATCAGATTCAGAGATATAGGCAGCTGAAGTCATTCAAATCTGCTTTCCTTATAATGACAGATTGGCCCCACCCAATGCCACCTAATAAGGCCACCCATTCATATTAAAAAGACCAAAAAAGGAGGAGGCAGGACAGGCTCAACTTTCACATGCAAAGGCTTCTCTCTCTCTATATCTATATCTATATATATATATATTACACACACACACACACACACACACATATACATACATTTGCTGGGCTACCTTTTACATTCTTTGTATCCTGTTTAACATAGGAGGTTACATGTCCGTATGTTTGATCTGGGAGACACCTGGTTCAATGTGTGGTCACATATTTGGCAGCTGAGCGCTTGGTTTTGTGTTTTTCAACGTAGACATGAACAACCTACCTGAGCTTCTTTTGCAGGGAAGGAGGTGTAACACAGGTGACAAGAGGCTGCTGAGAATGTTCCATGAGCTTCAACAAGTTTCTTTGGAGGAATTCCAGCCACTAGAAAATAGGCAAAAATGCAACAATGTGTATAGAAAGAAAAAAAGAATCCACAGATTGTTCACAAGCAATCTCAGGGCCTTAAACTGTCCAGCCCTCCCTCTGATCGGAGGGGGAACAACGTTCCATAAAATTGAATCCTGACTTGGTCCATTTTTTTTCCTGAGGTTTGAACTACTGTAATGCATTCAAAACCCAGTAGGAAGGAGTTGGGTGGCTATTATGGGTAAAGCAGCAGAAGGGAGTCATGACTATTATAATGGTGTGTCTTTTCTGGTCACAGTATTCAAACTGCTGTATGAAGGAGCCTCTTGCTTAGTTCTTGGAGGTCATTTTTCTTTTCTCACCTGTATGACCTTTTGAAAATGAAGCAGAGAAGAATGCAACTATACAGAAAGGTACTAGAATACAGTCATCATGGCTGAGAAAAGTCTCTGCTGGTTTCCATGCATGCACTATGGTAGTATAAACAGCAAAATGCAAGATTGACATTTCACTACCCTTCATCCACGTCCCATAGGTAATAACCATCAAGATACAGACCTCTTCTCTCATGCAATGGCCTTTCACGATCTACTATATAATTTCTGCATCCACAAGACGTCGAGCCTAATGCCAATGCAAGGAATGTATTTGACCCATACCTCTGTATATATGTCATACTGTTGTGATTACCCTTGTATACCAATATATCGGGGTTATTCTCTGTTTTTATTATCTGTTGTTACTTCGGAATCTCAACAAAAATATTTGGAGATTTTTTTTTTTAAATAAAATTATAAAGACAGAAGGGATCAGGGGATGCTGAATTTTATGAAATACAGCTCCCCATGAAGCCTAACGACTGCAATGTTCCAACATTTATCTAAAGGCAGAGAGCTGTCTAGGAGGCTTTTATTTTATTTTGTTCCTTTACAATGTACAATTCCTGCACAAAACTATGTTGTGGGGCCACCCCTGAAAAAGTGTCTACCTTTAGACTTGGGGCCCACATAAAAGCAAACTTGTGCATTACCCTTATTTTAATGCTGCCCTTTCCAGCAACCACCTCTCATTTCCACACTTTGCCACTCCATTCTGCCACCAGGAGCAACGAAAATACTTCAGGTATGGTGGAAAAATGTGGCTCAGTCCACTTCCTCTCATGTAACTGCGCTGGTGCTTGTGACAGCTCTGGGCCAATTACAAGGGGAAGGAAAGCCCTAAGCCCTGTGTAAGCCCAGACTAAAGCTACTTTGAGCATACGAAGTGCCATCTTTCATTGCTTTGGGTGCCAGAGAGTGGAAAATGATTGAAAGGAAGGACAGTAAGAGCTGCAGAGAAGGGCATCATTAAAGAGAAACTGTTACTCTGCCATTAAAAAATTAAGGGCAAGTCAATTTATGCGATTTCTCCCTTCCACTAGCAGAAGCTTACTTCTTTCCAGGCCATCAATGTTCTGTGTATAGCACCTCAGCAGCAAACCCTTCTCATGTAGCAGCCGCACAAAGTAGTGGATATAATTCGGCTTGTACTTCCCAGGATACAGTTCTTTAGCCAGGGTAAAGAAAGGTTGAGGGTTGTACGCGAAATAATCAATGTCAAAAATGGCTTCTGGGTATGGCACCTTGTACTTCTTCAGATTGTCGTACAGTCCTGAGCCCGGAGTCCTGCAACATGGGACAACCAGAAGGTGGTTACATGAATCATTTCCAATCCCTCCTCCCTTACCTCCCAGTAGCGATCAACAGGGACTTGGTGTGAACAAGCCCCTAAAAAAATGACCATGGGCCAGGAGGACACAGCAAAAGTAAATAAGAATGATGAAAGGGGAAACAAAAAGTAATGAACAGTGTATAGAAATAACATTTTTAAAAATGTGAATTTAAAAAGGAAAGTAGTGTCTAAAATGTAAAGCTTCATTATAGTATCTAGTACAGTAAAGACAGCCTTGTTCATGTGAGAGCAGGAGGCCCTATATGAAAATGAGAGGCCACCAATATGGCCACCAAGCGTTCCGTTAAGGAAATATGTGCCCAAATAGGTTTTTTCGTAAATATTCGGTCATATAATAATTCGGTCATTCGAACCGCCGAATCAATGGAATTTTGTTGATTTGCAGGTTTGTCTGAATGCTCAAGTCCAGTTAATTGTACAAATGGGACTCTACCACCATTGTATGGCCAGCTTTAGTCTACCTGTCCCACCTTCTTCATTCCTTTGTCAATAAGCAGCATCCAGTACCACCTGCGATAAACAACGGTGGTGCACATTCTGTGAAGGGGGTTGGTTGGGCTGCTTGCTTACGGGCGTGAGGGCAGTGGATTCTCCAGCTCTGGCTGACATCCTGCCCAACTCAATGACGCCCCTGGTTGCCATGAGCTGGGCAGGACACCGGCCAGAGTATCTCAGGTTGTGAAGAGCAGGGTGGGGAGATGTGTATGGTCCTTGCCCAGCTCTTTACAACCTGGTATGCTCTGGCCAGAATGGGGGCAGCAGGCACACTGCAAACATGGTGTAGCAGAGCAGCCACCCCCACCCCATGTGGGCCCAAAGAGATGCTGTCTGAGACAACAGCCTTCAGGGCCCCAAAAGCTATTATGGTGATCGAATACCTCCCAACTTCCTGAGATGAGAAGTGGGATCACCTTCCAACACAAGGAATTCTGATAAATGGACACACCCCTGCCATGCCCCCAGTTACACGAACCATTAAGAATTTACATTCCAAAACTGATTGTTAAACCCAGAATAGTTTCTTTCCATTATGTTGACATTTCAAATTAAATTAGATAAAATTAAGGTATTTGTTCAGAATAAAACACATTTGGTAGGTAAAGATTATTTTTTTATAGAGATCTGTTCATTTGATCAAGAGGGGCAAAAGGGGAGGAAAGTGGGATTTGGTTCCAAGTGGGGGAAAGTCCCTCCAAATTATGGACAGGTGGGATGTATAGTGATGGATATTCAGATTCTGTTGATAGTGTCTATAGGCATGGCTGCAGGTCCATAAGCAGGTAGGACCCACTAGGTAAATCCAGACACGGAAACAGGAGTTTAAAACATCAAGTCCCTAACAAAGAAACGGTCACAACTCACCTAAAATCTGGAATCCCACTTGGTGTACTTATTCCTGCTCCAGCCATAACTATTATTTTCTTGCACATGTTCTTCAAAATTAGATCAGCGACATCTGTCAATGTGGTGCATTTCAGAGAGGTGGGCACTCTTTTTGTTTCAGGATTTTTCTTGCCTAGTGTTGGTTTTCTAATGGGAAAAAAAAACCCCACCAACATGTTCAAACCTAGTAGAGAAGCACAATGGTCAATAGTCATTTAGCACCAACGACGGAATGAGCACAGTAAAAGCAGACACGGCCAGAAATCCCTTACTCATGCTAGTAGATGGGCTGCTGCTGGATACTGTGCTCTCCCTTGTGATCATGTACTGGACAGGAGGTTCAGGAAAGTGGAGCCGAGTTAGAGCCGTTTGGAAACATGATGACTAAATGCTTGGGAAAAAATTTAAAGGAATACTTTGCTGGGCAATGTATATTTGTTTGATCTGGATTCATTATCTAAACACTTTTTCAAAGTTAAATATTTCTAAAAAAATAAAAAGCGACTTGGCACCAGTCCCTGAATACTTCAATAAAAAAGTGCAGCACAAAATACATAGACTATATGGCTAAATGTTTGTGGACTCCCGACATCACATCTTTATGAACTTGTTGACACCCAATTCCAAAAACCATGCGTGTTAAAAAATATTTATTTATTGTAGGGAGGGGGTTTCTTGCTCTATGAGTGACAAGTGTCACACAAGATGTGGGGGGGGCATTTGGGATATATATATATATATTTATATTGAGGACATTCAGGATTTGAGCCATATAAACAAAAGTGATCAATATGATATGGGTGGATTTTAAGAGTAAAGATCGGAGTCATGGTCTCCTGTGTATGTGCTATTGTTACCTCTGCTAGCTATGTTGTCCAATATAAATGTGCTATAAAGCTGTTAATAGGGTGGGACACTGTTCTAATGACAATGACGTATTCACAATGGCTTTTTTGTAACCCTGGTTGGGTAGATTAATAGGTATTAATATCCATTTAGAACTTACATGATCACTTGTGATGCAGGACTGTGAGAAAGCCATCGAAAGTACTCAGGCGAAAAAAAAAAATACTCCCTTCACATGGGTGCCATCCATTCCAGTCAGTAGGGGATCCTTGGATAGATCAAAACGGATGCGACTCATGACATCTGTGTTTGATCATCGTTTTCCTGCATCAGGCTGAGCTGTACAGACCTATGTATGTCTATGGGGAGACGGATGTAAATCGGACATGTGTTACATGTGATTACCTCTGATCCATCTCGTTCAGGTCTGCCAAAATGTCTGCCTAGTTCCAGCTGCCCATAGACTAACCTTGAGCTTCCAATCAGATCCACCTAAAAAACTGACAGGAGGACCTGATCAGACTGTCTGTGGGAAAGGGGCCTAAGTAGTTAAAAAAGGAGGGGTGGCGGCAGTCATTTCTTGGACTTAAGAGGTTTGGAAATTCCACACAGGAAAGTAAAAAGGTAAAATTAAACACTGTATAGGGAGTTATTACAGTATCTCAAATAAAAAATAAATAACCCCTGCCCCCCCCTCCACACACACACACCTTTAATTTAAGTTGCTTTTATGCTACAACCCTCCTGTCTTTAGTCATATGCGATACCCCCCACCCACTCCATGGTCATTCCTTATTTTGAGATGGACCATTATCACCATTCACATGGCCCATTACAAAGGCAGATTATGGGCACACATGACCCACTAACTAATACTGCTCTACATATCCTAGCTGTCAAAGTTAGGCGGTTAATAGTAGAGGTTCTCAGAAAAATCAAACCACATCAGTCTGCAATAATAGAAGATGTTCTTCCAGCCTAGAAAAATATGGCTGGAAATAAAAAAAAATGTGTCCACCTCACCTGCTGTGGCCTTGCTTATCGGCCACAGAAAGCTGATTAATGCTCTTTGTCAAGATGTCCTCTGGTGGAGGAATAGGATTAACTGGTGCTTTTGACGTTGTGGGTTTTTGTCTGGTGGACTTGACAGAGGGTACTCTAGTAGAAGAGGCAGTTGATGAAGGTTTTCCTGGCTTGCTCCATTTGTCAATGTACTCTGTAACCATTTTGGGCGAATGGAGAGCAGATGTGACACTATTCATGCTGGCCAAAAAAACAAACAAACACAGAAAACCAGAAATCAGTCCAAAACTATGAAAAAGAGAACTAGTTTATAAAACGGGTAGTGGTGACCTAATGTCTGCATCTACCATAGGTACCATAAGTGCCTAAAGCCATAGGGGTCTGACCAAAGTGGAACCTATTCTTTACTGTGTATCATATGCGGAAGGGCTAGAACCGTTCTATGGTTTTGTGTTTAGTTCTAGTTCTACTGTACTTTCTCCAGCAGAGGAAGCATGTGAAAATCTCTACAAATGGATAAAACAGAACGCAACAAAAACTTTCACCCAAGATTCCAAACCTTCCCCATTCTACTGCATTAATTCTTCATTGGGAAATGTCCAATTACTTCCTCTTACCTGCAAGCCAACAGGCAGAGCTCATTCTCCTTGTGGCAGGTTTTCCTCCCAACTACCCATTGTAAAAAGCAAGCTTGCAGACCCCAATAGCTCAAGTTTAGAGCTGAACTATAAGCAAATATTGTCCAACTGACTGAGCCCTATTTATTCATACTTGAATCTTGGTGAGCTTTGTGTATTTCTTGCAGATCTGTGCAGTAATCAAGTGTGAAACCTTTCCTCTGTTATGGAATAAAGACCAGTCACTGCTGCTCTCTCTTTGTGCAGGGTAACTGGTCTTGTATCCACCCACTACTGTAGTTTTTGGTAGGCAGCTTGTAGTGGATGGAGTCTGCTGGGCCCCTCCCACAGCTCTACTCTCTGTACAGGCTATGCACACAATGATCGATGTCACAGCTACTTTTATATCCTGATATTCGGGTTTGCAAAGGCATTTCATGCACACAAACTGGATTTATATGCTTTGTGGCTATTAAGGAACATATGTAAATGAAAAAGCTAAACTCTTGAGTAGAAACACTTTAATAATACACATGCAATCAGAGCAGCTACTACTACTTTATTGGACAGCTGCATCTGATGTTTCAGTAAGACAAATCCTATCTGGAGGCAAGCTGCTCCGTTTAGCTAACCCAAAGTGCTCTGGGATGCTTTAAGTATTGAAGGTTTATTTGTAAAAGAAAGGACTGTATACACAAAATAAAAAATATTTGTAAACATCAAACTTAATTTATAAAACTTAAAAAAAATAAAAAAAAAATATATTTACCATTACAGTCCCTTGCAACTGCTTACCTAGGATGGATAGGCACAGGTAAAATTTGACAAGATGAAGTGAAGAGTTTCTGGTTTGTATTCAGCTTGGTGCGGTTTTATTCCAGCACACACTTTTTAGGGCAAAGCTGTTATAAACTGCAAAACCTTTAGCAATTGTTGCAAGTGTTGAACTCTTGTATCTCTGCCACCGACTATAGCAAAGCGACCTATAGAGAGATAGAGGAAGAAAAAAAAAGTTAAACTCTTTTGTTGAAAGGCTTTTCCCAGTAAAAAGCAGAAAGGTTTTAAAATGGTCACCTTTTGACAGAGGTAATGACTAATGTATTTAGTCTCTTCCCCCTTGTAGAGGAGAGAATAGCTATGTTAATAAAAGGACACAGTTGTAGGTGTTTTATGACCTTATGGAGGGGGAAACAGAGGAGGAAAAACAGAGAAAATGAAGGGGGTGGAAGGGCGAGATGCAACTCTGTCTGCAAATATAGCCGAGGAATTGTAGATAAAACTCAAGGCATCTTTCTACCCTCATCCTTCTAGGCTGCACACAGGCAGGTTCCCTCTCCTATTGTCTCTCAGTATTGCTTGTTTGTTTTACTAAACAGCTGTATGTACCTTCCACTTGTAAATGGTTTATGTATGCGTATTATCCGTTTTATATTCGTATTATCCGTATGGAAACAACGCCAGTCAAAACACTTCTTTTTTACATTTGGGTAGAGTGACGTTTAATATTTAATTCTGCAATCCCTGGTTCCTCCCTCCCACCAAATTAACATGCTAACGATATTTATTACATTATGTCATCACTGGGTCTCTGATCCCTAGGCCAGATTTTCGCAACCTTTTTAAAATCACGGCACCATTTAAAAGTTTGCAAAATCTCAAGGCTCCCCAGTCTAAAATGTAATGGATTTCAAGGGGGACCCTACTCACAAAATCACTGAAAGTGGGGTTCCTTCTTTCACATCACAGTCCTTCATTCAAATTAGAGTCCCCCATTCACACCTTCACAAAATTTCAAGGCACCCCTGAGGAAGCCACAAGGCACCCCGGTATGCCATGGCACCCTGGTTGAGAAAGGCTGCTCTATGCAATGCTGGCATATCATGGCCGGTGGCGGGGCCAGCAAGGTCTGTACAAAGCTTCCTGAAATCATCACTCTGCCTCAGTACCCGGCTCAAGAGCTTTAAGCCCTGATGCAAGATGCGAGCTGGCTCTTCGGGTGTCTGGAGGAGTCTCAGCTTTTGTTGAATGCTTGCAAGCACTCATCACCATCTATTTTTCAGGAACTCAGCTGAAGAGATCTCTGTGCTTGAATAATGATGGGGGGATGGCATGGCCAAGTGGTTGGCATTTTTGCTTTGCAGTTCCGAATCCTGCACTCAAATGCCACCAACTGCATTGGAGGCTGCGTTAGCAATTTCCTGAGGTTTTTACCCAACCTAAAAATAAACTGGTAAATCAGCATCTGATCAAGCTGAACTGTGGGTGCCTGAGTGTGGTGAACTGCAAGCTCTTTCAGAAGCAAGGATTTATGGGAATGGTTATGGAAAACATTGCTGTAATATGTAGGCACCGCAAAAGTATCTCACTTAAAGACACCCTGGTCACCAACTTAATAAAAAGAAAAAAAAATGCAGGTAAAACTACAGAAAGATAAAAGTATTTTAAGTGCTTACTTGCAGCGTTTTTCCTTTCCAAAAATTCACCTACAATGACAGTGAATTATCTAGCATAGCCCCTTCCCAACTGGCACGTCATAGCCCTCTCCTCTTCTGAAA